AATCAGCCCAGAGTTATTATCAGCTCTCTCAGCACATAATCACTGTATTGTTGAAAAAAGACAATATAGAATCAGGAATGGACTTATATGACAATGTTGAGGAGATAAATAAAATCCATTCTGCCCCCAGGATGCCTATAGTCTAATAACATTTGTTTAGAGAATTGTGCTCTTTTCTGAATGACAGTCATGTGCCTGTTCCAGGCATCATACTATGTTTATTAGGTGCTCTGTTTCTAGTCCTCAAAGCACCCCCATGATGAAAGCTATATGATCTAATTTTCAGATGAGGAAACTAAAAGCACCTGCCAGGATTCCTGGTGCAGGGAACATAAGGTGCTGATTCTCACTGGTGAATTGAGTGAGGATTTTATACTCTGCACCCTAAGTTAAGAGTAGACATATCCCCACTGGAAATGTTTCTCCAGAACTCCTTCCTCCACCATCCCATGTAGAACCTCACCCTTTTGGCTACTCACCCCACACCTGGGCTGCTCGTCTCCCTCTTAGGCACAGTAACTTCAAGCTTCAATGCCAGAAATGCTTCCCAATTCAAGCATTCTGAGATTTTTCCCAAAAAAAGGAGGGCCTAGAAATTTCTGTATCAGCTGCTAAGAGACCATAAAGATGTCCATCTCCTTGCCTGCTGGAGATCTGCAAAGTGATGCATTTGAGGTTTGAGTAAAAGATCCTGAGTCCGTCCCACAAGTAAGAGATTCTCTGCCATTCTCTTGCTGATGCCCTGAATGGATCCCAGGGGTGCTGAGAAGTGGAGCCATCAGCTCTCAAGTAGCCAGTATTTTCCTCAGTGAGCTATATATTTTCTATGTGTGCCATGACTTTAAGAGATCTGGGAAGCACCACTCTGAGTCATCCCATGAAACGTCTAGGGCTTGTCAGTGCCAATAAGTGAGAGAACTTAACTTTGAGAGAGTGAGTGAGAGAGAGAAGGCAAATGGGACAATGAGAAGTAGGTAGGAGGACTGACCAGGGTCAGAGATGTGATCGATGACCTTGGAAGAATGAAACCTGCTAGTCCATCCAGAGACCCAACCCTTGAACTCATTGGAAAGGCCCTGTTGGCAGCTGTTCTCACACCCACAAACGTGAACTTATACTTGTCAAGATCTAGACTGTCAGCTCATTCAGATGCAAGGTCAGCTTGCTACTTTGAACTCTGTTCCAATCACAGCCATTTAATTACTTTGTGGATTCTTATAATTCTCCAAGGGGAGACAACAAGCTGGCTTCAAAAGTACAGTACCTAAAATTAAAAAAAAAAAAAAAAAAGTACAGTACCTAACATTTTTTTCAGGTTACAGTATTTTTACGAACTGTGAGAAACTTACAGCACCTTAAAGAAACTACATAAAGAAGGTGTCAGCATTTTCAATATAAACTCCATTTCCAAAGGTTTATGCATTCTGGAGAAATTTGCCTGAGGGTGAAACTTGGCATATAGGGCCCGAGTCCCGGACTGTCTACATCTCATTTCATAGGTACTTACAAATGAGTTCTTCAAAGTCACTACATTTGGCACCTGTAATTTTTAGAAATAAAAAATGACTTTAATAGCAGGTGGTTTGTGAGTTTAGTGTCAAACACACAGTTCTCAGAGAATCTGAGAATCTGAGAACTCAGGAATACCAGAAGTCCTGTTTTACAGATTCTGGTATGATAATATTAGAAAAGGAAAGGAGGGAAGGAAAATAATTTAAGGGGACAGACACCGGAAAATGTTGGCATTTTCAGAAGGGTATCCCGTACCTAGCCTGCCTTCATCATTTTTCCTACCCCAGACCTCTCCTTGCCCTATTCCCTGTCTTGCTTCATAGACCAAGCCAGCACATACAGGGCTTTGGGGGCTGGGGCTTTCTCCCCAGAAAAATCACTGAAAAGGCAGCCAAGGATCTCATTCTGCTTTTTTGAGTCTTCATTGGAGGGAACTGGATTCAGTGCTCTCTGAGCCATCAAATACTTGGGGTCGGGGGGAGGACGCGTTTTTAGGCAAAGCCGGAAAAACTGCCCTTGGAGGCAATGCCTGTTGCCTAATCCAGAGAGCTGCGATTAATGCCAGAGAAACCTTGGCATGGACATCTATGGATACAACTGAAGAAGGCAGAGGGAAGCATTACTGAGCAATCATGGTCCTCAGAAAACATGCCCATCAGGATGTGCAGGCACCCTGCATGGGGCAGCAGCCATGTAAATACAGCGAAAGTTAAGAGTAGACTCACACCTTGGGATGGGGAACATAGGAGCCAGCTAGATTTCAGGAGTCTGCTCTGATACCAGAGGAGAAGCTGAGCACCTTGCCTAGGGAGCGGCGGGTGGGGGAGGTGGGAGGGGGGGATCCTGTGAGCTTTGTGCTCACAACGTGGCCTCAGTGGCTCATAACTGAGTGGAGCCCCCTTCTGGATTTATCTGTGCTTTGGGGAAGAAGGATCAAGACAGCTTGATGGTTGAAAGCCGGATCTTTGTAGTTTCACCTGACTGGATTCAAATCCAAGCTCTTTCTCTATAGTGCATGACCTTGGGCAAGTTACTTAACCCTTTGGGGCTAGGATTCCTCACTTGTGGATAGTGATGATAGTTCTTACCTTATAAGGTCGCAAAAGTGATGACATGATGCCAAAAAGGAGCGAGGTCCTAACGGCTGAAGTAAGCAGACAGACTTAATGATTCGTGTCCACAAAAGGGAAAGATCTCCCGTGTCTCATCCTGCCAAGCACGCTTTGGGTTGGGGCTACGAAATCCGGAAGGGGCTGGGAGTAAGTTACCATGGGAGGCAGCCCGGGGCACGTGGGGACTAACACAGCTCAGCTGTGACAGCCTGTGAGTCCGCTTCGAGTTGCCCAGCCCTGGGTCGGTTCTGAGGAAGACCCACTTGCTTGTGTGAGACCGAAGAAGTTCAGCCTCTTCGAATTGCTCCAAGTACAACACAGGGACATGCTAACTCTGAGGGTTTTTTTATTTCTAGGCAAAAAGGAAGAAAAGACCTTGAGTTCTGAATAGCAGGGTCTTTCCTTTCGAACTCATCTGGCAATGCCTCCCCAGGCAAACAGCTGCTCCTTTCTCAAAAAGGCCCTTCGTAACAATCAGGCCCCCTTCACTGAGGAGGAAATGAATAGAGAAGACAATGAACAATCTTTGAAGCTGGTTGAGAGTAAAGCTGGCCAGGTGGAGGCCTTGAAATGAATGGGGCTAAGGCTTAGCCCTACTGATTATGAAAAGGAAAAGCCCGCCCCTGGCTGTCGCCATATGAATCTGTGCTCCGGCAGTCCCTGACCAGTGTCTGAGGTCCCATGGTGTATGAGGCTGCTCAGTGAGAGAGGGTATCTTCATCTTCCCAATAAACACCTCTTTGAAAACAGAAGCTTCTTCTTTGATAGGGACTTTGTCTCCTGAGTGCCTCCAAAACCAGCACCAAACCTACTAAAACCTGTAACAGGTCTATCCACAGCCCTACCCCCCACCCCACCCCCTTTTTTTAACCTTAGTGTTAGGAAAATCCCAGAATTGTACTATTCACTTGCAGCAAAGAGGTTTTGAGGAAGAGGGTAGGGAATGGACAGGTTCTGGAATTCTGGTACTAATTGCCCATGGGATTGTGTACCAAATGGGATTGTGTAAAGAAGGCACTTATGGATAAACTATCCACCTACCAGGTACCAGCTAATATCTGATAAATAAGTTAAACATTTTGCATATGTCATTCTTCATTATTTAACTCTTTCAGCTATCTTTCACAGGATGTTCCATAGCATTCTAAATTCTAGAGATTGGATGGCGAAGAGATTTGTATCCTCACAGCTGCCTCAAGGAATCTGAGAGCTCCAGAGCTTAAGAATCCTGTGTCGGGGTCCGTACAGTAGTTATTGGCAGTTCCCACTTTGGAAGATGTTCCATAAAAGCACCACTAAAATGTTAGCTGTTGAGCATCTCGATGCAAAGAGTATGCCATATTCTGTTATATCTGCCACCATGCCCAATAGGGTACTAAGTATTTCTTAGTCTTAGAACTGTAAGATGCCGATACAAACTTTTATTAAGGATATTTTATTCTAGGACTATCATATAAATAGGAGACTTTGGGAGTGATGAGCAGAACTAGGAAGTTGTCTCATTGGCTTGGATCAACCATTTCAGAAATCAAACATGCAATCATTTTTGCCAATATTGTATTTCTGCCTGTATATAAAATTTCTTAAAGATGAGACACATCAGAAAATGTTACACACATGCAGTGAAATCAACTTGATTCATTTTAGGGAATAATAGTTTCAGGGATCTCTGGTAGTGACAAGAAATCCAACAGGTACTGATGGGTTGTGTCACTGGGTGAAGTAAGGGGGAAAGACAGGCAGTGGCTCTGTAGTCTTCTCAATAAATTGACTTCAAATGGCAGTTGGGTCAGAGGAAGACCATGTGATACAGTGGTAATATCATAGGTAAGGTACCTTTTGGAATGACCTTTAGAGCATGTGCACTACTTGCCCTCACAGTTAAATTGAGAGGCCAGACACTTAGTTAACTGTCAGGTGGACGATAATTCATGTAAGAGATGCATAATTACCTTTGTTAGGACATCACTTCAATGTGTTATGTGTGCTCATTACTCATCATATTTTGGTTAATAAATTTCACCTAATTTGTTGAAGTCATATGATTTCCAATTGAAATAAAGGTGACCAAAAATCATTTTTGGTCTCTAATGATTTTTTTTTTCTGTGATAACTCTAGTGAGCCATCCAGGGTGTAAGTACATGTGAGTCTTAATGCCAGTAATGGCTGCTGTCTTCCCTCATGTTATGTGAAGGGAATATTTCCATGTTCAACCGAATGTCGGTGTGATGCCACTCACTTCAAACTTACTACACCATTAGAATTATTTCTTCCTTTTAGATATCCCCGTTCCTCCAGATCAGAGACTAATGCTCACTATCCTTTTATCCTTGTATGTGAGCCTTCTCTAATCCTCATTATGTTATTCTGTCTAGAATCCAACTGCCTGATGAGGACGCTGGACAGTGGGATTGGAACCTTCCCACTCCCAGACTCGGGAAATCGCTCCACAGGGCGGTACCTGTGCCACCCAGACTTCCCAGAGGACACCGAGCCCATCCTCTCTCTCCAGCCAGCACTCTGTGCCGCTTCTTCCATCAGAGCTCAGACCCTTGAACGAGAAGTGCCTTCCTCTGCAGACAGCCAGGCCTCTGCAGATAATGCCATTGTTCATTCCACATCTGACCCCATCATGACCACCAGGGCCATACGGCCTCTTGAGAGTCGCCTCCCCAAACCAGCTTCCTCAGGTAAACCACCTTCGACCTTCCAAATCAGATTGTTTCCACACCAAAATAATGCACTTGCTGACAAAAAATGGAAAACAGGCAGCAGGAAAGGTTTCCACCAGGAGGTCAGTCAGTGACCTCTACGCAATGGGAATGTGGGCAAGTGAAAACCTCTGTAGGTCCTCAAACAAAAAGTAAAAGGACACGTGTTAAACATTATGGGCTCTTGTATTACAGCACGGTATATACACACATGGAAAGGAAACAAGCACCTAAGCATAGGTATATGGAAATATAAACTGATGGGAAAACAAACAAACAAACAAACAAAAAAACAAAGGCCCACACAACATACACATAGGATTTTCTCTTTTAAAACCTAACTCTGAATATAGACCAGTTTAGGCCCGAGACATAAATTTAGCAGAATTGTTGTTTGCCCTCTAACCAGAAATGTATGTCTTCTGACATATTCCTGTCCTGCTCAAATATATTTATATGTTGATCTATAAAAAACTTAGTTTGATATATCAGGGGTAGATTGTGCATTAAGTGCAATAGAGTGGAAGGAGCCTCACCCCTGAGAGGCACCCCCCCCCCTTCGTCATGGTCAATTGAAACAAGCTTCCATGATTCAAGATAGGACCAGGCTAAGGGTCAGAGTTTTTTCATTGTTCCCTCAGGATTAAAAATATTTATTGCAGTGCAGGATGACACTAAATAATTTTTAACTTGCATGGCTTACGTTGCATTTATGATATGCATAAGCATCTGAACTAGAACTCTAAAGACTCTCTTTTATGATTTGATGACTAGAAAGGAGCCACAAGTAGAAATTATCCTGTCAGCTTTTGAGAAATTAGAAAAGAAGACTTTTAATTAAATATCTTTGAATAAATGTGATTGAGCTATTCTCATGGCTGAGTTCTTCATACAATACCAACTACCATGAATGTTTCATCACAAACTTCGGCTCATTCCGAGCCAAGGCTACATTTCGGAGGGCTGCAATGCATATTATTTTTTAAATAAACGCATTGTTAATTAATGACACAGCCTCTAGAGATTCAGGGGCGAAATCTTAGTTATAGATTATGTGCTCCATGCTTGAATAGTCACATGTGTGACCTCAATTCAGCGGCGGGCTGCCGAGTAGACTTCATGATTAAACACTGTCATTATAACAAACTGAATAGAAACCACAAGCCTTGAATTGCTTCATAAGAAGGGGATTGGAAGGAGATTGTTCTGATCTTGCTGCTAATACTCACCGTGATGGTTTTTGGAGGTTTGTGTCTTAATTAAATTGTCATGAAGGGTTGTAAAAAAAAGAAGAAGAAGAAGAGGAAGAAGAAGAGAAGAAGAAAAAAAGTATACACAGAGAGCGAGGTTAACAGAGCCATAGGGTATTACTGGGGTCCCCACCCCGCAGCTGCCTGTCTACCAAATGATAGCGTCACTGTGGTCCAGACGCGGGCCCGCCTTTCCAAGGCTGCTCTTTTCTCTGTGGCCATGGGCGACTCACTTGAAAAATCAGGGAATGGAGGACTGGCTGGAACAAAAGGAAAGTGAGGTTATTCCCGCTGAGAGGAGTCCCTTCCTGTCTCATGCGTGCCTTTCACTTTCCCGCATAACGGAAAATAGAAGTAACTGTACAAGTCTCACAGTGCTGACGAAAATACAGTGACTTCGCTTCTCCTCAGGAGCAAAATGCTGTGGAGAGGCTGTCTCACAGCTCGTCCTGTTGGTAATCACTGAGGATGGAGCATAATAACAGCAGTTCTCCTTTTGGGCCTGAGGAGAGAATTCACTCTGCAGGTTAATCTACTATTAAGGGTAATGGGGGAACTTTCTTTAATCATTCCCTGCTAATGACACCCTCGCTACTCAAAGTGGGATGCATAGGCTAGCAGCATCAGGATCGCCCCCGGAGCTTTCCGGAAATGCGAAATCTCAGACCGGCACTCTAGACCTCATCCAGACACTGCAATTTAACAAAAGCTCAGCTGAAGTGTAGGCACGTAAAAGCTCGAGAGTCCTGCCCCGCGAGGTCTTTAAGAGCAGAGTTGCCCAGGGCACATTCCGAGCGCACTGGGAATGACCGTCATGGGTATTCTAGGAAAATAAGGGTTCCCTGCTCAAGTATGTTTGAGAAGGGCTGCTGCTGCTGCTGCTGCTGCTGCTGCTTCATCATCATCGTTGTCGTCTTCTTCTTCTTCTTCTTTCCCTTTATTATCAGAGGTTAAGCTCACAAGAAGCATGGGGGAAAGGTCTGCTTTTGAAATCAGACAACCTAACATTCTCAGAATATACTTATACTCTAAATAGGAATCCTTTAAAAAAAAATCTGAAAAGACTTTTATCTCTAAATTTATAGTAGTATCTTCAATATAGGACATATTATTTAGGGCTTCTAGTTCAAGTCGTTTCTTTGGACATCATGACAATTTTTCAATAGTGGAATGGAGGCTCTGAGAAGTGCTCCCAAAAGGAAACCTGTTTATTATTTGATAATCAACACTATTTGAGGAGGAATGGGTGTTTCTCAAAGGGTTTGCCCGCTGACCCCTTCATAATATGAAAAGTCTGTCAGCGTTTTGTGGAAAAGTTTGCCTTCAGCTCTCCAAGATGGACATCCTCGATAGATACCCCTAGCTATGCAGTGTGGATGTTTTGGTTAACACAGACTTACAGAATGTTGAGATACCCAGCTCTGACTGTATTTGGACCTTTTTTATTAATGCTGAATGTCTCCCTCACTTCCCTCCCTAAACTTGTAAAGAATTGAAGGAAGCAGATTGTGATTTCATGTATATTTTCTCATTTAGGAAAAATCAATTCCCAAAAGCAGAATGAAGCAGAGCCAAGGCCTCAGACCTGCTCGTCATTTGAATATGCTGAAAACACCATTACAAGTGAGCAGCTTCCAGACTGGGGGGGTGAAGGCCCCATGGCTGAGACCCAGGTAAGGGAGTGGGACGGGCTGATGGGAGGGCACCCTCCGCCTGTTGCCCTGATGGTGAAAAATGACTTCCTTAAATCCTTTAACGACAGATTGAATTTTTGGATCAAATTTGTCATTGGCTCAGTGAATAAAAACTAAGGCCCGAGGCTCACCTTCTTCCTTGCATTGTTAAGGAACACCATGGTCTGTTGGGAGGAATTGAAATGCTTCCACAGATCTGCCCCTAGGTTCTTGAGGCATGGAAGCTCTGCCCAGATTAGATGTTACACAATGGGTACTCACTTTCCCAAGCCATGAGAGCACCATTGAGAATGATATAATGACACTTTTTCATGACCTTATCCTTACTTTAACCTTTACCTCGTTCCTGTGAGACAGGTAAAGGAGGTATATATCCCAGAGTAGTCAAATGACTTGCCAGTGTCAATGAGACCTGTGTCTCTTCAGCCTCTACCATTTTTGCTGGGAGATCTTCCTCCACCCTGAGATGGCACACATAGGCCTCCTGATGTGTGATTGGACCTAGGAAGTTGCTCAGAGCTCAGGGTTATTTCTATCACCCATCAGGGTTACTTGGTATTCCCTTCTGTGCTTCCTCCTCTTTACCCCTTCCAGTTGGTTATGTGGGCCATATTCACCTTGTTCACTATTTCTCAACTTGTCCTGGGTTGGCCCCCCTTCAGGCTCTTTGTTGGTACCTGGCAGTGAGAAGGGTGGGAAGAAGAACATATGGATCAATTAACAGAGCTTCCCCGCCCTTCCTTAACTCTTCTCACTCCTGCTGCCTTTGTCTCTTCCAGTCCTGGCATTAGGAGCCCCCATTGCTCTTTCTAGTACAGTTTCTTTCAACTATGAAGAAAAATACCCAGATCAGCCCACATCTGGGGTCCCCCACAACCAGTGGGGCTGAACCTTCTTTCAGCCTTTAGCACCTCAGTATGGACTCATGGACAAGTAGGGAAAGAAATTCTCGGGGCCCATAGCCTCAATTTACAGCAGAGAACACAACTCCAGAGAGATGCTAGACCATATTCAGGGTCCGTACTCAGGAGTCAGGACTAGAACTTGGCCCTCCCCCTCAGACTAGAATTCCATGTCTGACACTCAGAATGGCAGGCTCTACAAGGCAGGAACCTAGGAGGCAAAAGAGTAAAACAGTGTAGTCTATAATGCTTTAATTTAGACATAAAAATGTTAAAGCAGTGGTTCCCAAACATGAGTGGGCATCAGAAGCACACGGAGGGCTCCACATCCATTCACGCCATGTCCGACTTGGTACTGATGAGTTGAAGTCGAAATATTTCTAACAAATTCCCAGGTGATGCCGATACTGCTGGGCCATGGAAAATACTTTGAGAAGCCCTGTTCTAAGAACTCTGTGCTCGCTTTGGGAACCAGAGAGTTGAGAAAACCCTAAAGACACCCAGAGTCAGTGGGGGAAATTGTTCAAAAACAACAGGTAGTGACAATGGCAAAGGGGTTCAGGCAAATCCAAGAAAGTAAAAATAATAATAATAACAAAAACAACAGCAACAACTGAATGCGGGCCAGGTGAGAGCCTTCCTGCTACATGTGATGGCAGGACACTCCTCACCCAACATACCTGCCCAGCAGCACAGACACCTCTCTGGGGTTCTCTCCCTCATCACCCTGCCCACTTCTGCCCACTGGAAAGTTCATTCTGATTTGAGAGAGTCACTGCTGTGAATTGGAACTTAGAAGCCTGCTTTGCTGACTGCCAGGGGGAGAAAGTTGGAAGCAAGAGTTAGCTTACAATTCTAGCACCCAGCACAGTTCCATTAGGGTTTGTTGAATGGAGGGATGAAGAGATTCATCTCATCCCTCACTTACTGCAGAAAGTGTTACTGGGGCCGTACTGGAACTCTAAGATGTGGGGCTCCCCTAGCACCCCAGCCTAGAGACTTGTCATCCTTCATGGACATCATCGTTGGTGGACTATCAGTATCCCGCATATTGAACCCCGTACCTCCAGAGCCTCTCCCTCCTCCTAGCAGAGAATAGGCACTTGATAAACATCTGTTGAATGGGTGAATGAATGAGTCAATGAAAAAAGGAACAAAGGAATGAGTAGCTGCTTGTACTTACAACTCCAGATGAGGGGATTTACATCCCAAAGTGTGTTTTTATGATTTCCAACCGAATGACACCCTCCCAAACAGACTTTAGAAACTTTAAAAGACTTGAACTGTCTGAGATGGGTGTGGAATAACAGGTTCTAACAGGGCAGCCTGCAGACCTGAAAGACATTCTTTTATAATTCTGTACACCAAACTGCAATCCCAGATCTAGTATTTTGGTTCTGTGCACAAAGGGAGATACTGTTTATACAGCATCGACCACCTGAGAGAGCCTTATCGCCACACCAGTGACAACTCAAGGGTTAGGCTGTGTGTACCTGCGAGCAAGAGCGGAGACTGAGTCCTTCAACCCGTCAACCTCCAGTGGATGTGAGGAGTATATAGGGTTAGCAGTAGCGTACTTTCCTAAAGGCTCCTGTCCTTTCAAGGGATAGAAGGAAATCATAAATTAGGCAAGCATTCATTCTTTTGTTCTCAAGGTTGATTTTTTTTCCCATACCCTCTGATACTTGAAAGCCAGTGATGAGATCAGTTAAGCAAATAAGCCATTAGGCTTGGAACAGCAGCTCATAATAGGCACTTGAGAAAAATAAGACCCCCTAAAGAAGTAAGTGTACAAAATGCAGAGCGGGTAACTGTGAGGACTTTCCTGGGCCTGAGACTACGGCAGAGTGGTCAATGGCTTCGTTATCGCAGCCCTGCTCCTGCAGCTCCAGTAAGTGAGACAGACAGGAGAAGCAGAGCTGTTCTGGGGGTGGGGCAGGGGAATGGAATTCTGCGCGCACGGTGACCGCGTCACAGCCCATCTGAACCGTGTCCCATCCTCGCAGGATCTTCTGCCGCATTCGACTTGCGTGAATAATCTTAACGGTCTCGTATTACTTATTTAGGACAAGGGACCCAGAATGTGTGCGTACTCTGCCAGTGCTGGCAGTGCTAGTGACAGTGACCTGGACTATGGAGATAATGGTTTTGGAGCTGGAAGGGGCAAATTAGTGAAAGCAATGAAGAGCGCCACCCAAGGTAACTTGCGGGAGCACCGGGTCTTCCGGGGCAACTCTCTCTCCCGGAAGCCGCTGATTGCGCCTTTCGCTGTACTCTGCCTCCGCCCCTACCCTTGATTTTACATCTGAGCCCCACGTCTCTCCTGAGATCTAATTTTCTGGTATGTTCAGAAGATTGTCTATGTGCATCCGTTTGTTTTCTGGTATAATCTTCATGACATTTCAGTGCAGTCTGTAAGGATTTTATTTCCAAATCTGGCATCTCCCAAAAAGTCTCCAGTTGAGTTATCTGAGTAATGAAGGAACGACTAGAAAGATAACTTTGTTCTTAATTACATCCTCTGGTGAGTTAAATTGTCCAGTGAGCCATGGATGGAGTCTTCGAGGCTTTTTGCTAATATCGTGCTGTGTAGCTCTGCACCTGTGAGCTGGGCTGTTATGAACAGGTCTGTTTATGAAGTTCAAACTCGCTCACTGTATTTTCTTTTTGAATCAGAATTGGCAGCAGAAGAATTTAAAAATGTGTATATTCAGATGGCTTTTCCTTACAGCTATAGGAGGACAGATGAACCCCTAATTCAGAGTGGGATCTGGGGTCCACTTTCCTTCTTATCTACACTGGATTGTCAGAAATATTTCAGTGATGCAGTGGAGAATCATTTTGTTCATGCTCATCAGCTTTTTTTCAAATACTAATTTAGCAATTATATGATGAAAACATGATTTTGTTGTTTGTTTTTTAAACAAGACTGATAAATTGCTTTAGGGAAATCCTAGCAACCATGTGTGTTTACAGTTTTCCAAGAGTCTTTGCATTGGGACATATGGGAGTAAGAATAGCCATTAGCCCGAGCCTCCACCTGGTTCCTTGCTTCCTACAAGTTATCAGAGAAGCAGGACCAATGGTAAAATGATACAAAGGCTTACCAAGAAAAAAGTGATAAATACCCCTGGCTTTGCGGTTAGATTGGTGTCCATATTGGCTCTCTGTCTGGTTGTGGCAAAGAAGGTGGAAAGGGAGGTCTTAATCACGGGACCGCCCAGTGAAGACACCTAGGTACTGTTGGTCCAGTTCTTCCCTTGAACTTATCGTGGGTCCACAGCGACTAATTTCACTTCATTAACCTTCAGCTGCTTCATCCAAGAATGATTTCCAGGGCTCCTTCCAGCTCTAAAACTCCATTTATTTATTGAACAAATATTTATGGCAGGCCTCCTCTGGGCCAGTTTTTCAGCAATGAGTAACTAGACAAAATTCCCTGTTGGAGAGTAAACAACAGATATGATTAACTACTAAATGTCTATTATTTGTTGAAAAGAGATGAGTGCTGTGGAGAAAACAAAGTGAAGGAGTAGGGTACATAGGGGAGGGCAGGACTGCTCGTGAGAGGGGCAGGGTTCACATTTTAAAAAGTGGTCTGAACAATTCTCACTGAGAAGGTGGTGTTCAAAATCGGAAGGAGGAAAGGAGGAGAGGGAATGAACCGGGAGGCCATCTGGGGGACGAGCATGCTCAGCAGAGGGAAGAGCCAGTACGGAAGCCTGGAGGCAAGGGCAGCAGGAGGTCAGTGTGGCTGTCCCGAGAGCAGTTTGGAAGGGGAAGGGCCGATGAGGTCAGACAAGTAAAAGGAGCTAGAGCTCATAAGGTCTTACTTGCCATTCTGAGGACTTTGCTAGACATGCATGGGAGCTTATGGATGACTTTGAGCAAAGAAGCAGCATAACCTAAGATGTTCCCAAAGGATTTCTCTGGCTACCAGCTGGTGAAGGCTGAAGGAGCAACATCACCTCGGGGGCTATAATTAGTATTAGTCACTCATGTAAGAGATGTTTAGTGGCTGGGGCAGGGTGGTCTTGGTGAAAGGAGTGAGCGCCGCTGGCCAGTACCAGAGCCACAAGACACACATGGCCCATAAGCACTTGAACTGTGGCTAGTACAGCAAGGAGCAGAATTTTTAGATTTAATTTTCTCTGCTTTCTTAAGAGTTCTCACCACATGTGGCACATACAACACAGAGTGAAAATGGGCTGATTCCAGATCTAATTAAAAAGACAACACAATTATTGATAGATTAGAGGGTGGGGGTAGAGGAAATAGCAGGGTCTAGGATGGCTTCAGTGTTCGGGTCCTGGAAGGGACAACTCTCTGCTGACTGAAATGGGGAAGGCTGAGGTTGGAGCTGGGTAGGATTGGAGAGGGGGGAGTGGAGGGGAGGTGGTGGGGAATCTTGCACATGCTCCATGCTAGCTGCCTGTGGAACAGGTGGAGATGTTGAGTAGGCATGTGCTATGGGCATCTGGAGCTCAGCAGATCAGGTCTGGTCTGGAAATGTAACTTTGAGTGTCTGCATACACAGGGTCCAGATGAGGTCAGGAGGGGAGGGAGTGTTGATAGAGGGAGAATCCCATCCTCCCACATTTACAGGTCAGGGAGAAAAGAGGGAGACTACTCAGGAGGAAAGCCAGGGGAGTGTGTGTCTTAGGTGAAGAAAGATGTCGGGAGTGAAGGGGGAATTCTATGATTCCATATGTGGCTCATGACTCAAAAGAGGGATAAAATCGTCATCTTCAGTTGTCTGTCTCTACCTCTGGCAGTGAGTTTCCAATGAGGGGTGAAAGGAAGGTAGTGGGAGAGGGGAGGAGGGATGGTCCAATGGCAATTTGAAAACATCTTGAAAAAGGAAATAAGACAAATTGTGCCAATGAACAAGTGCTGGAGTATGAAAAACTTACCTTAGGGTTCACTTTTTTTGTTTTTTTTTTTTAAGATTTTATTTATTTATCCGACAGAGAGAGTGAGAGAGCACAAGCAGGGGGAGCAGTAGAAGGGGAGAGAGAAGCAGGCTCCTGGCCAAACAGGGATCCCAATGCAGGGCTCGATCCCAGGGCTCTGGGATCATGACCCGAGCTGAAAGCAGATGCTTAACCATCTGAGCCACCCAGGCGCCCCTAGAGTTCACATTTTAACATTGTTTTGTTTAAGTGAGTCCTGCAAAACAATAAGGAATAAACATTAGGGGACACTTAGGGAACCTGGTGAAGAGTGAACTTGTTCCTCTAACTTTTCTTTCTGCCCTTTTGGCAAATGGCAGTGAATCTTAGCCTGGGTTGTTTTCTCAATATACTCATTTTGTTCATCCTATTCCCTTGAACCAGAGCAAATCCTCATTTGAGAGGAGGGGCTTCTTCCATTCTGTTGCCCAAGCCTCAGGGTGAACGGTGCTTCTTTGGATAAGAAGCCAAGGGCTAGGTAGACTAACTCCAGAAGCATCCCACCAGCAAAAAGATGCTTTTCCTCCGGCCAGGCACCTGCCCTCTGCTTTTAATAGTGAATTTGTTGCCAGAGCTCTGTCATCCACACAAGCTGACTGAGCCGGCGGCAGCTCAACCCTGGCTGATGACAGAGTGGCCAGGAAGAAAGAACATGTGCAGACAGCCAGCATGGCTGTGGGCCCCTACTGGCTTCCAGCAAACCCTCAGAAGGGGCAGGTAGGATGGACTCACCAGCAGGAACTTTTTAAATGCTGGCAAAATGGATCCGAAAAGAAATAGAAATGATTCAGAGAAAACCGGTACAAGGAGTATGTGTCCTGGGTGTGTAGTTGAGATGTCCTTCCCTGCCAGTCACCATTTTGCCTGGTTTTCACCACGTGAACCTGTGAAAGTGGTCCTCCCCCCCTACCCCCCCCCCCCCCCCTACCCCGTAACATGATTTTGTAATAGAGGTCCCCAACCTGCAGAATGGAATTGCTGGTTGAGCTGGAAGCCTTATTTGGATGTTCTCCAAGATAGTTGTCCTTTCTCAAACGCGCCCTCTCTCCCTGGCCCCTTGAAATTTCCCGCAGGTAGAGAAGGGCAATTGACAGTGGCTCATAGGAAAAGCACAGTCAGGGATCTCTGCCTGTCACCACATGCCCTCACCACCATCCCCCAACCCCTGCTAATCACAGCAGGTCCAGGGGGCGGGGGGAGGCTTTCCTTTCAAACACAGTGTCCTTTCAAACACAGTGACCCCACATTCCCTGGTTTCTCCTGCCCACTTGCTTCTTTGAATCACACTGAATGTGGACATAGAAACCTACTTTCTAATACCCTGCCTACAGGCTCATCAAACACTAAAGTAAATACATGTCTTTTCTTTCAAGTTTAGTTTCTTTAGCTTAATTTTGAAATATGTTCGAAAAGTCTAGGTTGTTTGCAGCGAGCGGCAGGGGCAGGAATTAGGAGCTGGGTAGGTGGCCCAGCGGGTGAGGTTTCAGACAAAAGTCATTTTGTGGCTTTGTTTCCACAGAGCTACCCACTCTAATTTGCCAAGCTGGGCATAACAAACATTCCCACCTCTTTCCTGCGGGCAGGGCCTTGGACAAGGCATGAGCAAGGGACCGCGGTGGAAGGGGAAGGGGAAAGACAGCAAACCACCAGCAGGATGTCGGATGAGTCAAGACCCAGGGAGTTGGATCAATGGAGCTCCAGTCTCTGGATGAAGGGAGGCCAGAGGAGTCTCATCCCTTGCTGAATGTGCTGGACCTGATTAGTAAAAAGTCAAATAATCATCCCTAGCCAATGCTTATCTCCCTAGCTTCTGACTCATCTACGGCTGTTCCCCAACCCCCTGCCTTCACCAGCCCCACCAGGTATCTCAAAGGCAAAAGGCCAGACTGACACCTTTCTTTTTCCCTCTAGAAATCTCTGCCTCCCAGGCTCTCTGTCTCAACTGGCAGTCTCTCCATTCTTTTAGGAATATAGTCTATGAAGCTAATTTGCCTTTACTCTTTCTTCTCTCACCTCCCACGTTCTGGCTGTCCTGAGATCCTGCTGGCTTCCCTCCCCATATACTTCTTGAATATTTCCTCTTTTTAACCCCTCCACCCGTGCTCCAGCAGTGCCTTCGTGAAGCTACATAGCCTACTGCCTCCCTTTGTTCCTTGCTCACTGCCAGTCCCTTCTCCCATAAATGCATCATCCCCACTGCCTTCATGCCTCTCATATTGTACCTTTTACTGGAAACTCTTCTAGAACTCTCCATTACCCACAGACAAAATCCAGTCTGCTCCTCTACAAGGTTCACAGAACCCATCTTGGCCTTGCCTTTCTGACTTTATATTTTTCCATTTCCT